CGAGAAGGTGGCAGTTATAGGCTTCTTGGTCAGGGACGGAGTTGAGGGCATCTCAGGAGCCAGGACAGCCTGTGAGTAAGGCGGGTCCTCTCCAGGGGCCAGCCCAGCCCAGAGCTGCTAGGGGGTTGGAGGTGTGGTTTGCCCCTCTGCTAAATGACTATGCTTCAGCCCTGCCCCTGACAGAGCCATCTCCTCTGCCCCCCTGCCCTCATCCCCAGCTGGACAAGTAAGCGAAGTGAGCTCCCTCCAGGTGAAGAACCTGCTTTGGAGCTGGGCACGGAGAGGAGGGCATTTTTCAAGAATTTTGCTGGCCCTTTTTTATTCTATGAAATATAAGGATGTGCAATTTTTTTGGTTTCAATTTAGCATTGGAGAATTTTATAATTTAGTAATTAAAATCTCTGATAGGCTTTAGAAATTGCGGCTAATTGAATTTAATGGGAAGATGATTTTCAATTTTATTTGATTACCGGGACCCCTGGCATCGGTATTTATGGGAAAAAAATGGGAAATGTGCTGTGTGGGCTAAGATGGCATAATTGAATTAGGGATAATCGGATTTCTCCGTCATGAATTTCACTATAATTTTCCTATAATTTTCCATTAGATATCTAGTTTACAAATATTCACAAAGAAATGAAGCTCTTTCGGAATGGAGATTGCTGGCTAACAGGATTACGGGGCCGAGCGTGCGGCTGTGCCCGCCCCTATACCGCCATAATGCAATCCTTGTATCTGCCTTACACTTAGCTCGAGCCTGGCCTCAGCCCCTCGCTCTGCCACCCGCTCTGCAGCTCCTCTCTGCCCTTTGTTTCCTTCGTCCCCATTTATCCCCTGCCGTGACACCCACCCTTCCGTGGCCGACCACCTCTCGTGCCCTGCTGGCAGGCTATCCTGTCCCCATGCCATGGTGTCTGCGCTCTGCCCTCTGTCCCCGCCATGCCTCCTGTCTACACTTCGCTTGCTTGCTCCCTGACACCCTCCCTCCGTCAGCCTGGGGAGTGCATTCACACGCAAACACGCGGACTCCCTCGCAGGTGCGAACATGCTTGTTCACATGCACACACAGTCCTTTGGCCAAGGCTCCTGTGCCCTGGCCCAGTCGCCTCAGAGGGAACCAGTTTATTGGGATCCTGGGGTGGGGTGTAGGAACAAAAGGAGCTTTGTTTGAGTTTATGTGAAAGTTACAAATTCAAAATGAGAGCAGATAAAGCATCAGATACCTGGTGTGTAAACAGGCTGGTGAGTGAGAAGGCCCCGGGCTCGGGAGGGAGAGAGAATGAGTGGGCAAACTGGGGGTGCGAGGGACTGGGAGCCAGTGACGGAAGCCTGACGGGAGAGCCGACGGTTCGCGTGAGGGGCCCGGTGGGTGGAATTGCTGGGCAGGTCTCCACTTTTTCTCTTGGGGGTGAGGTGTGTAAGGAGGACCTGGTGGCTCTGGGCCCAGGACCTCGAGACCAGGAGGAATTGTGGCATTGGGTTTTCCGTCCCCCGAGTCCCAAGCACAAATGTTCTCACGGTGGCCTGGCCTCAGGGTCTAAGGAGATGTCACCACATCAGAGTTCTCACATCAAAAATGGGCCATAGCCTCAGAGATGCCAGGGTTCTGGGCCTCTCCTCTTTGTATGAGCACACATCCAAAGGGCAAGAGAGCGACAGAGAAATCTGGGGACCCCTCCATTATGCGGCCTCTGACTCACACCCGTGCACAGCCTCGATGCCTCGGCCTTCTCCTCAGATGTTCTCAAATCATAACACGCCGAGATGGCCTCATTTTCTGTGCCTCTGTGGCCTGTTCTCCGTGAAGGCCCTCACCCTTGGGCAGGACCTCTTAAATCTGCAGTGGCTGATTGTGGCCATTGTCTTGGCACACAGCAGAGGCTCTCCAGGCTGCTGCCTCAGTTCACCACTGGCTGTGCTCGGTGGGTCCCTCTGGCTGGCCCTGCCTGTTCTGCCTTCCTTCTAGCTCTCTCTTTTCTGTCCCTTCAGCCATTTCTCTCCAGTCTTTGTCCACCAGAGGCCTCGAAGTTATCGTGTAGCCGATTCGGTTGGCCTTGCCTTGGTAACGACATTCAGCAGGCCATGCGGGTCACATATGCAGGGAGCTCCCCATATGTGCAGACATCTTCAAATGCACCCGGAAATCGCCCTTCCGCCTCTATGTGTTCAGGCTTCCTTCTGTACCCCAGTTGCCCAGATGGGAGAACAGACCATCAGAATTGGGGTTTGGGATTGACTGCCTGTTGTTACAACTGTAAGTTGCAGATCTTGCTTTGGAGAGTCATGGGTGGGAGCACCCACAGGCATGTGTGTACCCCTGAGCAGTCCTGGACACAGAGATGCCCTCTCCGAGATCCTGCGTGGGGAGCAGGAGCCCGTGGTCTTCTCTACCTGGCTGCCCTGTGCCAGCAGTGTCAGCCTCTGGGTAGCACGTGGCCTGATTTAAGGAGCTCTGCTCCCTTATTCAGGGTTTTAGGGCCAAGGGACACGCAGTAAACCTTCTGGACCTCCACCTACTGTTCCTACAAACAGATGGAGCAGGCCTGAAGGGTGGAGAGTTGTGTGATAACCAGGAATGGGGGTCACCAAGAAGGCATCAGGGAGGGATGCTAACCTCCCTGGGAAGGCATTTGAAAGAGCAGTCTATAAAAAGCAGAAAAATAAGGGGAAAGTGGAAGAAAGAGGAAATTAACTCCCTGACTTCTTTGCCCCAAAGCCTTCCTGGGCCCCTCCCTTTGCAAAATAGAAATATCGCAGGAATAGGCCATTTTGCCGAATGCTGACCAAAGACCAGAGAAAGCCAGGGTCCTGTTTTTCTCCTCGTTGAAAGACTAAAGGAGAGGGAAAGCAGGCAGCAGGGTGGATGCAGAAGGGACAGAGGGGGAGCTGGTGACAGTGAGATTCAGGGACTTCACTAGCACAACTGCCCACCTTCCTGCTTGCCTGGCTGCCTCCTCTGTTGAGCCCCCCAGGCCCAGTGAGTAACTTGAGTCACTAAAATTTAAGGAATCTCAATATATCTGGCCACATCAGGGCCGTCTCCTATGGCAAGGAGACCCACCGAAGTGCTTTCTCTGAGAGAAAAGGAGGAGGGGCAAGGAGTGGACAGGGCACCCTGGTCCAGTGATGAGCTGGTAGGCAGGAAATGTGGCCGATGTCGGCGGCGCAGGTGGCAGGACACTGGCTCCTGGGTTGAGGGGTGCCTGCGCCCTGTCTGCCAGAGCCCTTCGCCGGGCACGGCAAAGGCAAGAGGGCGGGAAGGAAGCCCAAGTGATGGCGCAGGTCTCTGGTGGGAACACTCCGACAGAGGAAAGAAGGGCTGCCCAGGCCGGGTAAGGGAGGGAGGAAGGAGGTGCTGGCTCCCCTCGAGACCCGGCCGCGGGGCTGGTGGCTGATCGCAGGGCAGGAGGAGGAGAAAGGCCGGAGAGCAGGGCTGTGTAGGGGCCGGGCCGAGGCCGGGGGCCGGCCCGGGCGGGAGGCGCCAGGGCCCATTTTAAAAGCAAGCCCCGGGATACCCACACTCCTGGAGCGTGGAGCCTGGAGCCCGCGCGGTGTGCGGAGCCGCGCGAGGCCGACGCGCCTGTTTTCCGACACACCCAGCCCCGCCGCCTCCGTGTCTTTTCTTCGAACTAAAAAAGCAGCTCCAAAAACAACAGGGGGAGGTTCGGGTATGAGGGGGAAACAAAACCCCTGGTACTCCGGGACCCCGAGTCCGAGGGCGCGCGGCTCGGCGGGCGCGACTCCGCGGTGCC